TCTAAGTTCGGATGATCCACGTAGTTTCACTGCACAAGCAAATGTGCATTGTGCATATTGTAACGGTGGATACTATCAAGATGGCTATGCAGATTCTAAACTTCGATTGGATGTTCACAACTCATGGCTCTTCTTTCCCTTTCACAGATGGTACTTGTATTTCTTCGAGAAGATATGCCAAAACATGGTCGATGACGACACTTTTGCCCTTCCCTTTTGGAACTGGGATAATCCACCTGGGATGTTTCTGCCAGCCATTTTCAAAGACTCCTCATCCCCACTCTATGATAGCTTACGCAATCCCTCTCACCTAAATACAGTTCTTGATCTGTCCTATGAAGGCACTGATTCAACGGATAGTACCATAACAGTGATAAGAAACAATCTCAACCTCATGTACAAGCAAATGGTTACTCAGTCCACAACTCCATTGAGTTTCTTCGGAAAAGCGTTTCGTGCTGGTGAAACATCTGATCCAGGAGCCGGTTCAATTGAAACTAGTCCTCATACGAATGTGCACCGTTGGACTGGCGACCCTAATGAATCTCATGGCGAGAACATGGGCTCCTTCTACTCAGCGGGAAGAGACCCAGTCTTTTATTCTCATCATGCCAACGTTGATAGAATGTGGTCTCTTTGGAACTCTTTAGGAGGCCAGAACTTCACTTGTTCAGACTGGTTAAACTCCAGTTTCTATTTCTACAACGAACAGGCAAAGCCTGTAAAGGTTTACGTGAAAGACTGTTTGGACACCTCAGTTCTTGGATACACGTATCAAACTGTGGATATCCCCTGGCTGAATAGTAAGCCAAGCCCGCGTAGGACGGCTATCGCGTTACCAACAGCTCCTACACCAAGTCAAGTGTTTCCAACGACCCTGGAGAAAGCTATAACTGTTCTGGTGAAAAGGCCAAAGAAGAAGAGGACCAAGAAGGAGAAGCAGAGGGCAGAGGAAGTTCTGGAGATATCTGGGATCCAGTACAATATTGGAGAGTTTGTCAAGTTTGATGTGTACATCAATGAAGATACTCCGGACGAGAGCGGGCCGGAGAAGACTGAACTTGTGGGGAGCTTCATCAACGTGCCTCATGGACATTCCATGATTTCTACTACTACTAAGAGTTTTGCTATATCTGAAGTTTTGCAGGAATTGGGAGCTGATGAGTTTGAGAGCGTCTTGGTTACTTTGGTCCCCAAGAGTAGCACTGTTACCATCTCCGGAGTCAAGATCAAGTTTGATAACACCAAGGTGTCTGCATGAGATTTTAAAAAAAAAAAATTAATGGTGTGCTTCATATATGTGTGGTCTTGCATGCTGTTTTTTGTTTCAGATGTTGTGATTTCTGTGTCCTCCCTCAACCAATTAGGGCCTTGAATCTAGCTTTATTTCCTTTTTATATGGTTCGGAAAGCTATCTCATCTTACCGGATCATGCATGAGGAGTACTGTGATGTGTCTACCTAAATAAACCTGCATGGGGATTGTGAATTGTGATATACCTGTCTAAATAAATCCCGAAAGGCAGTGAGGGAAAGAAAAGAAGAATGCAGTATTTGCACCCTTCTTTTTTCTGTTGTTAAATGCTATGTGAACCTGTTTCATGATGTGAGATTACATTGGGTTAGTAGAGGCTTTGATTTGATTTAAAACGGTTTTCTTCGAGAATCTATTGCGTATTTACGATGTTAATTAGGGTTTACACGTCTTGAACATTCTTTTTGTGTGCCCAATCTATTATTTAATTACAAATGCGGCTGTTTTTAAGTTCATGTTAGGATTTGTGGAATGACAAATTGATAATCCCATGGGAAAAGGCTACTTCTAATCTTGGAGGTCATGTTGCTATTCCAAAGATAGAGGTTACGAGAAAATAAATGGAGGTTGGGTGGCTAATTGCTTAGATTATAGGTAAAAAAAAAAAACATCCGCCAAATGCACCTCTGACACGGAGTTGTTCTTGTTCTATACGTGCCGTGCTGACTCAGCGCGGTCCAAAATAAATTTCGCAGAAATCAGAAAAATGTCAGTCTGTGCAGGCTTGTGTCAGTCCGGGCCGCGCTGATTGTGCACGGCCCGGAATGACTAAAGACTGACAGATACTGCTTTTGTCAGTCTGGGCCGTGCACATTCAGCACGGCTCCTTTGAAAAAAATTTAAACCATTGGTCTTGTAGCAGGTGAGAATGCCGTAGGAGTGATCCTTTGTGGAATCTTGTAAGTTTCCTCGCTCCTCGTTCTTTCTTGGGAAGGGGGATGTTTTTGTTGGTTAAGCAAAATATTTATAGGGCTAATGCTTAATGACACCTCAAGTGCCAAAAGAAAAATCAAGTCTTGGGATTCTATTATCTTTACAAATTATGCATTTATAATAATATACACTTATACATTTAAATATTGTATTTATAATACATTTATAAATATTTATAAATAAATGTATTTATATATTTATATGAAATATATAAATGTATTATATTATATATAATACATAATATAAATATATTTTTAAATGTATAAGTGTATATTATTATAAATGCATAATTTATAAATGAATATTATATAAATGTATAAATTAATATATATTAATATTATGTGTAAATGTATTAATATAATTAATATAAATGCAAAAATGTATTAATATTATGTATAAATGTAAAATTAATATTATGTATATTAATATAATTTATATAATATATAATATTTATATAAATATATTATAAATATATAAAAATATTTTTTAAATAAAATAAAATATTTATAATATGTATAAATAAATAAATAAATATTTAATATATATAATATACATTAATATTAATTATAAATATTGTAATATTATAAATATGGTGTTTATATAATATTTCAATTTGTAATATTTATTGTACATTTCATTATATAAATATTTGTATAATACATAATATATAATTTTCAATAATACATAAAATTGTGTTGAAATATCAACAATGCATATTCGGTCAACATTCAAATTCAAAAAATAATTTCAAAGTTGACAAAATATTGATAGACCGTACAATTGTCTGTAGCTAGCACCACGATCCCATTTGTGTCATGAGCAGTCGAAGACTAGGAATTCTAAACGGCTTCACAATTAACTCCAATCAGGGCCCCATTAGTTTATCATTTCTTTACTTTGCATTATTGGCATATGTAGTCCTCTGCTGCGAGCCAAATTGGAAATGGCAAGGAGAAATCCCGTGCTTAATTTTTTTCAAAGGAGCCGTGCTGAATGTGTACGGCCCGGACTGACAAAAGCAGTATCTGTCAGTCTTTCGTCATTCCGGGCCGTGCACAGTTAACACGGTCTGGACTGACACAAACCTGCACAGGCTGACATTTTTCTGACTTCTGCGAAATTTATTTTGGGGCCGTGCTGAATCAGTACGGCACGTATAGAACAAGAACGATCCGTGTCAGAGGTGCATTTGACGGATGTTTTTTTTTTTTACCTATAATCTAAGCAATTAGCCAGGTTGGGTGGTGTAATAGATTAAATGCTTGCACAACCAACACAAGTACCTCGGCAACATTTATTAGCTAATGATTGACCATACATTTTCACAACTCTGCAATATCATATCGGCTTTCCTACATTCACCAATTGCAGCTCAACTAAGAATCAAGCCAAAAAAGAAGCGTGTTTTGGATCATAAAATATCATTTCTCATCATTGTAGAATTTAATTTCTTTAGATTCCTTCAACCAAAAAAACAAAAGAAGAAGAAGAAGAAGAAAGCTATGATTACTTTCCCAGAAAGGCGTTCAAGATGACTTGTTTTGCTCTTTCAGCAAGAAACAATCACGACTTGTTGTACTAACCATCAGGGTTATTCTTAAATTCTTAAAAGGAGTACTTTTTAATGAATTATTGCGTTGTATCATTAGTTTTAATGATTTGTACCATTACTACTAGAATCTATAGAAGATCTAAATTTGGAATGGAAAGCCCGGATACCGATTGGGTTGAGCCCCGCATTGGGTGTGTTTGGATAGGTTTTATTTGTAAAAAAATTTATTTGTTTGCATCACAAATATGTTTTTTAACACTTTTTTTTTATTTTTTCGATCACCTTCTAATGTTACATACATCATTTCAAGAAAAAAATGCTACAATAATTATTTTAAATAATATTTCAAATAATCTTTTATTCAAATTCGCACAGCTTCGTATGGATTATGTATTTTTGGAGGTATTTTTCAAAAATTTTTCTGTAGCGGTGGATATGCAAAATTTTACTATAGATGGTTAGGGTATTTTTGGAAGTATTTTTGGGAGTGTTTCTGAGAATGTATTTTCATGTATTTTTAGAATTTAAATTTTTTTTACGTATGTTGCAAAAATTAAACACCATCACCCACCACTACAACAAAAATGGCTTTTCTTGACACGTGTATAAGGACACTTGTTGGTTTGTGTCATTATAGCACTTCTATCATGACATTTGTTATCAAATCACTAATATATATTTTAATTTTTTTTAATTTTATCTGATATAAAAATAATAATGTGTCTTTAGATTCCCTATCATGACACTTGAGAAAATGTGAGATACACCAAAAAAATTAAAACATAAAACGATGTCGTTTGATTTTGGCGGAAGATTTCTTTGCCAAAACACTTAGTGAAATCTCAAATTTTCATTTTGCCGGCCAGCAAAATTTTGGCTCTTCTCATCTCTCTCGGCAAACTATCTCTCAAAGCTCTCTGCCAAAATTTTCCTTTCCCCACAAAATTTTTTCTGCTGAATCTCTCCGCAATCAAACTACCTTTGCTTCCCTATTGAAGGTATGTAATTGCATGGTTACTTTTTGCCCTAAATTGTACAATTTTCTGATTTCCTGCTCCTGCTCTGTAAACCAACTGATGTGAAAATAATTAACTCCTGTAAGCTGCAATAAGATTCTGTGGTATGCTAGTTCAAGTTCGATACTGATTTTTCTTCTAAAAGTTGCTTCATTCTCAATCTTGTTTTCATGATTTTCTGTTTCGGCTGACAGGTTGTGATTGGGATGGATGTGGCTGCTTCTGAGTTTTATGGTAAAGACAAGACTTATGATCTAAACTTCAAAGAAGAGGTATTGCTTTTTCACATTTTCTCCCCAGATTGTTATGTCAAACGTTCGAATTCATTGCTAAGCCAAAGGATAAAATTACATCTAGATTCATAAATTCTAGTCTTCTAAAGGGGGGTAATTTCAATCATGACATCTATCTTTTTGGTCATTCTTCTTCTTTATTTAGTATGTTTGCTGCTTTAGTAGTATGTTTGGTGATAGCAAGTAGAAATTTCAGTGCAATGATGGCAACTGGATCAGTGTGTTATTCCAAAACCTTTTGATATACAAGAAAATATAACCTGCGTTATCACCTTTGCTTTTGCCAGTTAAGTTTTGCAAACTTGCTTGGTACCAAAATTTGGCTATTCAGCAATCAACTTTATTTCGAATGAAATGAATCCTGTTTGGTATCGTTACTTTACATTAGAACATAATTGCTAGGTGCTGATATCTTTAATTTATTTTTTTATTTCTGGTCTTTCTTTGCAGAATAATGATGGCTCACAAAAGATATCAGGTTATGACTGAAGGCTCTCATTTCATTGGAAAGTTTGGAAGCTACTGCAAGTTCTTTCTACTTGCTAGGGATGAGAATATTTTAGTTTGTGCACAAGAGAATCTTTTAAGTTTGTGCACATGAGAATCTTTCAAGTTTGTATTTGTTAGGGATTTGTTATGTTAGTACTTGTTACTGACTTTTAGTTCAACAAATTATATTTGAGTATTGACTTTTGCTTTTAGATTACTATATGCATTCTGTTCTTTGGGATAATTTTACAAGTCCTTTGGGTTTCTGATTGACGGAATGTATAGCAGGGAGCACTACCTGCAGGTTGCTTCTATATCAAAAAAAAAAAGATAAAAAAACTCCTGGCAGTTAAAAGTGTCAGCATAGAATTCGATATTCTAATGTTGTACTATACCTATCCTGACACTTTCAATTATCAAGAAAAGGGATTTTTGTTGGCAGATGGGATGTTATAACAGCATAGTTTTCCTGACATGTTGAATAGTATGAGTCTATCCCCACATTGGAAGGGACAACACTCGCCCTAGGTGTGAGGATAGATAAAGTGTCAGGTTAGATTATCTATACTGACACTTTTAAATGCCGTTAAAGGCCATTTTTGTTGTAGTGCACCACCACAACCTACCTTTGCCACCACCCCTTACCCACCACCACTACCTACCATTGCCACCACCCCTCACCCCCTCCTTCCTCCTTCTCTCTCCTCCCTTTCCTCCCCTTGCCTCATTCCTCCTCTGATCGCGATCAATTGGGGGAAGGGAGGGCATAGGAGAGGCTGGGCAAGAGAAGAGAGGGAGGAGGAGGAAGGAGGGGAGGGGAGGGAAGGAAAGAGAGGAGGAGAAAAGAAGTGAGGAGAGAGGAAGAGAAATGGAGGCGAGGGGTAGTTGGTGATGTTGGTAGGTGGAAAAAGAAAATGTGGTTGGGTTTATTTTTTATTTTTTTGTAAGTTATATTTTAGATTGTGTGTGTTTTTGAAGTTATTTTTAGAATTGCTATTGCATACTCCAAATACAAAAATAGTTTTTGAAAAACTTCCCAAATCCATGTAAACCCAATAAACTTGCACCGGCTACTAAGAATGCCCAGATATTAATTGAACCTACGAAAGCCCGGATTATTCTAAATAGCGAGTCCATCTGTATTAGTTACACCAGGTAAAGGTCTTAGCCAGTTTTTCATTTTATTTTTTAGTAACAGGGTCTTAGCCAGGTTAAATGAGTAGTCTTGACACAACATTGAAGAAATAGCTAGATATGAAGTATATCTTCCTTTTCTTTTTTAAAGCATAAATGAGATCAAGTGCATGATGTAGTCAATCAAATTCAAACATGAACTTGCCAAGAAAATGAAATAACAAAAGACCAAAGTACTAACAGGAGCTTTTCATTTTTAAAATATCATATTTAAAATGTTTCGAAAGCTACAAATCATTCCCAAATCCAATGCCAAAAATGGGTTCAAATAATAAATCTTAGATTTAGAGTTTTTAGACTAAATCATATTTCTCCCCTGAAGTCTTCCGTCCATTCACGTCAAGCTTTTCATTTAACTTATTTTTCTGCTTCCAAATGACAGTTCCAAGCAAGTAAACAATATTCGTGCAACAAATTAACACAGGGGAATTCGGAAATTTTACCTTGCTTGTGCTGGACACAGAGAAAACATCCTCCAACTTTAGAATGGATGAGGAATTGAGAGAATTTGAGGAGGGCAGACGATCACGAAAATGTGTTGGTGACTTTGGTCCAAAGAGAGGTGCTGTGACCATTATACACAGTCTCATACTGAAATAGAAAACCATCTGCTGTTACATTTTACAGCATATTGGAAATGGAAAGAAAGTTGCAAGAAATTTTGAACCTCGACAGAAAATTCGAAAGCAAAAAAAAAAGAACCAAAAATCCAAATTTAAGAGCCAGGTTACAGCACCACTCTCTAGTTTCTGCACCAAAGACACCAACACACTTTGATAATCTTCAAATGAATCATTCTCATCCTTTCTCCTTTCGAAAAGATAATTGTTCTTCCCTAAGAGCCCGCATTCGAATTAGCACTAATCGGTACAAACTTGGCATGTCTGTATAAGTAGGCTTGTTGATCCTTGGGGCCTTTTATCTTTCAATTGTTTGTACCACTTGGTTGTACTACGCTACTACACAGACGGAAAACTTATAAGAAAATAGACAATTGGTACTACACATGTCTCATGCAGTTTGTACTTCGTACTAGAATGCTTGTTGGTACTACACATTTGATTCTTAGACAGCCATAGGTCAGACATTTCATACATCTTTTTAATTGTTCATAAAAATTTTTAACCTTTTTAATCTATTTTTTTAGTGTATCTAGGTAGCTTGCATGCGTAAGCAGAGAAGATATCCTCTCCTCAGCCTGCAGGACTTTACCTATGCCTTTTCTTATCAATCTCCTTTTTTTTTATTTCACAAAATTCCTTAAATTTACAGCACACCATTCTATAGAACAAAACCTCAGCTCTAATGTCCAACTACAAGATTAATACTATTTATACTCAAACACAAGGTTATTACTTATTAAAAGGACAACATCAAACTTTAGTTTGAAACTTTGTAAAAAAAAATTATTAAATCAAGCCTTTTTACGTTTTTATGCTTTAGTATTAGTATATGTTAAGTTAGTAGAGGGCCACGAGTCACCAACACACCCTTAAAGTGACTGCCCAGACTTTTTGTCCATGCAATTACATTGTGCACTTGTAATTGAGACAAGAAGAGAACCGCTGGGCCAATGGCTCAGTGGCCACCAGGAGGGACTTAAATCTCTCCTCGTTAAATCTCTCCTGGGACTGTAGGTCACCTATAGTGAAAAAAATTTAAGAGTTGTGCTAGAGCACTTTTTTAGTATAGTTGGATCTATATATCCGCTAGTCCTTTACCATAGTCTCCTTAGGCTCCCCCTCCCCCCTAGATTAGGATAGAGTAGGTTTATACAAATGTATCGTTGCTGATAAAAAAAAAATTGAGATAAGAAGAGCAAAATTCAAGTGGATTATTTGAGTCACAGTTTTTTTTTTTTTTTTTCATTGTGCAATAGTCTTTGCAATGTGAATTATTTCAGCAGCAGGAGGTCAAAATCACAGCATCAGACAATCCAGGTTCCATGGACTGAATTGAGGCCATATCAGGTTTACGTCTCTTTAGTAAGACACCCATTTCTCTCATATTTCTTGACAGCGCACTCAAATACCTGAGCAAAAATGCAGCCTTCGCGAAGGCTTGAAATCAATTGATCGCTTAGACGCTAAGGAAATATGAACTTCACCAACTTGGGGATCCACAAAGTGAAATCAATGGCTTTAAAAGTTAATGAAAGGCTAAACTATCTGTATTGCAGGGCAAAGAGAATTATTGTGGTGGTAACAATTATGAATTTTCAAATATTTGGGGGTCAATATATATAGAAAAAAGAATTTGTTAAAATTAGTGAGTTCAAATAAGAGGTAACTTTAAAATTTCTCTAAACCTAGATTTTTCCAAAATTAAGTGGGATCAATTGACTCCACTTGTTTTCACATGGCTCCGCCACTGGTTTCACATGCACTATCCTTTTCTACGAAGACTTCACCATGAGGAAGATTGAAGGAGACTTGGGATGGAAATTGTCCCATAGGACTATAGAACAAACAAATAATTAGCTGCAATCCCTATATCTAGAATGCCGACTACCAAGGTTGACCATGATTCGGTCCTCAAAAACCTTGAGTCTGTTTGGATTGAGATGATTTGAGATAAAATAATTTGTTTCATAAATTTCAATCATATTTTTAATTTATATATATCATATCATAAAAAGTGTTACAGTAATTATAGCAACAGCCAAAATAACTAAGAAAAAAAAAAAGATTGTGGCAACAGCCTTGTGGTCTTCTTCTTAATGTTGGGACGTACGGCAGTTCATCTTTTTCTTAATATGTTGCCCTGTGTGTCTTAATTAAATAGTCCAATATTCTAGCAATGACTTTTGTGTTGTTTTATTCAATATCACAGTACTATCATTAATGTGTGTTCAATTAATTACACTTAAAGCTTTCAATCCGTTCGAGCTGAAACAAATGAACAGTAAGTATTAAGGCTGAAATCTGAGCGATTTGATTTGTTTGAAGAATTATAAACTGAAAGGAAAGAATTGAAAATGATCCTATTCCAATGTGCACAAGGATCCTCTTATTTGAGCTTGACATGCCCCAAAATTGTAAAAAAAAATTTTAAATCAATGACAGTTTATCAAGAACACCTGAAACAAAACTTCTAATAGTGGATTAAATGTCAGAGGTGACATAAAAGAAATGAATTCGTCCTACAGTAAAGGATCTGTTTGATCAAATGACAAAGATATCATCATCTAATTAATAGCAATGAAGTGTAGAATTTGAAGTCCAAACAAGGTCAATTTGACTACCTGAATTCGGATTTTCAGTACTTTTGTGGTAAATAAAAATGAGATAAAACGAGGCTAGGAGAAAACCTTAATACGCAACTCGTTCTTGTGGGGGAAAATAGTGCTCAGATATTAGGGAGGTAAGTTTAGGCACCAACTTTTGTTTGTCCCAATAGGATTTTACTCAATACAATAACATACGACTTGGTAGTTAATTTTGGGAAATGAGGAAAAATGTTTTGGTAAATTGTAACACGCACTTATTATCACCTAGTAATCCCTCGGGTGTTTTGTATGTGTATATATTTTTCAAAATATAAAATTTCTAAAATACTGCAGTTCTAAGATGTAATTTCTCTTTTTTTTTTATGGTTTCTAAGTATTATATTATTGTGTTTATATACTCTTTTTCACTAATGTGAATGTTCTCTTTGATGTCATTTAAGCAAAATTTTCCTTTTTTTTTAGTTCACTGTTCTCCTTCATCTCCTTCATCTAATTTTATATTCCATTTTAGTTATTTTTTCAGTTTTTTCTGGTATTAATGATAGGTGTAAATGATTGATTTTTCTATTTCAGTTAGATGTCAATGATCATTAGTGCTATTTCAATTAAAATACTACTAATTTTTAAATTGGGCATTAATTTTTGTTCTATTTTTTTGTTTTGATTCACATAACTATAATTCATTCAAAATAGATTGGAGCACAAGATGTATAAAAGTAGAGGTGGAGATCATTTTATGGGTGAAGAGATGTATACACTTTGAAGTTGAATTCTTTGCATTCTTCTGTGTGTTATTTCTATTAATAATAGAGTGTTGATGATCCACCACATATAAATTTTTTTTCCTGTCTGACTATTCATTTTTTATAACTAAAATTTCAATAGTATAGATAATTGATTTTTTTGTTATTTTGTTTTATTTTATTTCATTTCATTTCATTTTTTATTTTTTGGCAAATCTAATGTAAAGCACTAATGACAAAGACTTCATTTAAAAAAAAAAAAAGCACCTTGATTTGGTATCAATAGCAATAATTTTGACGATTTACAAATTGAATTAGACTATGATTAACCAAAATTTTTAGATTGAAATAAAAATGGAAGATGGAATGCAAAATGACATATTAGGTTGGATTGTTTTATTTTATTTATCATCTTTATAATTCAAACTGCTACAATTATTGACTACTATTAGAATACAATAAATCTAATAATTAATAATTAGAGAGAAAGCTATTTTGGACATAATAGAAAACTAATAACAAATTTTAACTTACACTCTAAGGAGTATAGATAGATAGATAGATTTGTTTGTACATGATATTATAGCAGATGCTAATTACCTTGCCGACACTGTGCACCCAGACTTTTCAATCTTTGGCAGCATTGCTGATCTTTCTTTCACGGTAAAATGAAATTTTCATGGATCATTCTTACATCACTTTTTTGGGTGCAATTGTTCTTACATCACGCAAACATCGATTAAACCTTGTATAAAAGGACGCAAGGGACCTGGCCAATTACTCAAATTGCACCCAAACTTCAAATCTAGCCATGGCCTTCTTTTCCCTTCCTTCCTCGACTCACCCTATCCATTCTGCCCAAGTTCGCTGTTCCGCCTTAAAACCTTTAATTTACTCATCTTCTCCCGGCTTCTTTTCTCACGCATTTCGACCAACTCGTGTAACAAACCACAAAACCCATGCAGAAGCTAGTACATGCAAAGCCCAAAATGCAGACCATCATCAAAACCCTAGTACTGATGACAGTATTACTTCATCCAAATCCAACAGCAGTAAAACTTCAGCAGGGCAATTTGAAAGAAGGGATGTCCTTCTTGGCCTCGGAGGGCTATATGGTGCAACCACACTTGGCACCAAACAATCAAGCCTTGCGCTGCCAGTTACACCCGATATTTCCAACTGTACCGATGCCAGGGATACTCCAAATGGCATACCGATCAACTGTTGCCCTCCCTCCGCCGCGAGTTACAGTGATTATACACCTTCTGCTCGCGAAGTCTACACAAGAATGCCGGCTCACACGGTCAGCCATGACTACGTCAAAAAATATTCATCTGCCATTGCAAAAATGAAGAACCTTTCTCTGAGCGATCCGCGTAATTTTTACCAACAAGCAAACGTCCATTGCGTGTATTGTGACGAAGGGTACTCTCAATCACGCTTTCCAGACAAAAAATTGGACGTTCATAGCTCATGGTTTTTTTTTTGCGTGGCACAGATGGTTCCTTTATTTCTTTGAAAGAATTTGTAAAAACTTGCTCGATGATGATACGTTTACTTTGCCATTTTGGCAATGGGACGATTCTTCAGGCATGCAAATTCCACCCATGTTTAACGACAGCAAATTATCCCTATACAATTGCATCCGCAACCCAAAACACTTGCCTCGTAAAGTGGTGGATTTAGCTTACAAAGGCACCGATTCGGGCATCGACCCCAAGACTCAAATCCAGTACAATTGTTGCACAATGTACACTCCAATGATCACTCACTCGTCCGCGCCTGCGCTTTTCTTCGGACACCCACTGTTGGGGGGTGGTGATCCCGATCCAGGAGCTGGTTCCATAGAAACTGAACCCCACAATAATGTGCACGATTGGGTTGGCGACCCTTCCGAGCCTAACAACGAGGACATGGGAGTCCTATATTCAGCCGGCCGAGACCCTATATTCTATGCTCACCATGCCAACGTTGATAGAATGTCGTACATTTATAACAATGTTTTGAAACGCAAAAATATTGAAGACCCAGATTGGTTAAATTCCTCTTTTATTTTCTTCAATGAAGCGGGAAGACCCGTTAGAGTGACGGTTAAGGATTCCACAAATCTCACCAAGCTTGGATATACCTATCCTGACTTGCCACTTTCTTGGTTAGATCGTAAGCCAAAAGCGCGTAGAAAGGGCCTGAACCTGACAAAGGTGTCCGCACCTAAGGCTAGCGAAGTGCTGCCAATAAAATTAGAGAAACCCATCAGCTTCGTGGTTGAGCGGCCTAAGAAGTCAAGGAGTGGACAAGAGAAAGCAGAGGCAGAAGAGGTGCTTAAGATTAAGGGAATCGAATTTGATAAAGGAGAAACTGTGGTGTTCGATGTGTTTGTGAACGAAGACGATACGACTAAGTGTAATCCGTGCAAGGCTGAGTCTCTAGGAAGCTTCCACACCTTGGCCCACGGACATGGCAAGAAATCTACCACTTCCCGTAGTTTTGCGATTTCAGAGGTGTTGGAGGAATTGGGAGCTGATGATTTTGACAGCATTTTGGTCATTTTGGTCCCCAGAAGAGGTGTTGTGACCATAGGTGGTGTCGAGATTACCTTTGTTCCTAAACCTTAAATGCATTAATAGCATTGCAAATACTACGTGCACAATATTGTGTGTTTGTGTAATATTGTAATCAATCGCAAGTACTACAAACTCTGGGAAGATGTTTTACTAAATAATTTCAACAACGATAACTGGTGTCCTTGTAAACTTTTCAATAGACCTTTACAAATGACTTTCAATCGGGCTTCTAAATTCATCATTCCTAACTCTCTCTCCCATTTTGTGGGAATGGCAACACTAGTATCACATTAACGAAAGAATGGGCCGACTTTGAAAACGAGGGCCCTTTCTTTCTTTTCCTGGTTCAGGGCCGTCTTACTTCGTTGGGCCGACGGAAAAGATTTCAGACATTACCTACCACCAAGGAAATAATACCAATGGACTGCCATCAAATCTTCCTCCTATTGTTCTTTAGTGCAACGGCGATCGAATGATGCCCGTATGGGTTACGGTCTTAGCAGTTGCTGAGATTGATAAGGAAACAATCGAACTCAAGAAGCAAGTATGATATCATACAATGTGAATGCAAAAGGCAACATTAACTCCCCATTTTTGAGTTCCACTTTTGCAACTCCAATGTGAATGCAAAACTACGTATTCCAGTCCAAATTTACCATGAACACGCACCATTGGAAATGAAAATTTCAGTTTATAATAAAAAGATATTTGATAGGCCAAAAACTTGTTCAATAATTGAAAGAAACGAGGTGAACTTAGGATATTTTCGAGCCAGATATGGGTACAGCAATTTCTAGTCCCTACCTTGATCAAGGGGTCTATTTATAAGGTGTGTTTTTTTTATATTTGTATAAAATTTTACTATAATCTATTATAAAAATTGTAGAAAATTTTTTTGTATATATAAGATTTGAGAAAACTGAAAATTTTCTCCTTTTTTTTTCCCTTTCTTTCCTCTTTTTTCTTCCTCTCCACTCTTATTTTGATCTTCCTCCTCCCTCTCCACTATCACCACGCTGGTCGCCATCTCTCTCTCTCTCTCTCTCTCCTCCACCCTCTTTCCCGTCCTCTCATGTCCCTCCTGTTTCCTTCTTCCCCTCTCCCTTCATCCCGCCCCCATCCATATTTATTTTAGGATGTGTATTTTAAAATTTTTGGATATTTTTAAGGGGCTCCTATAGACAAAATCATTAGAAAAAAAAACCTTGCATGTTAAAAACTCTCTAAAAAAACACCCTTCTCAAGCACACATAAGAGTTGAGATTAATCTTCTTCTTCTTCCTTTTTTTTTATGATATACTTCTTGTTTATCTTATCAAAATGGGTGGGATAATTATTCTAATGCCAAATATATTCACGATATTTAATACCTTTTCCATGGCATCCTTTGCGTTACTAGGTATTTTCCATGGCATCTTTTGTATTACCAGGTACAAGTGATTTCATGGGCAAATTGATAGTATGTTTTAGAATAATTATTAGCCAAAAATATTAATTGCTTTTGAAATGAATGATATTAATTTCTACTTATTCATTATCTATGTCAGTAAGATGTTCAATGCATACAATACAAGTTATTTCTTGGGAAAAGAGTTCCAATGGTCCTCCAACCCTTTCACAGGTAAAGTTTTAGCCATCCAATAATTAACAGTAAAGTTTTGATCATCGATCTAATAAAATAGCATATTTATTGCCCTTCTGTCAAATCTAGCAGTTAAAATTGACAAGAAGCATTATCTCGTGCGACGCGCGACCAAATATCAAGGGCATTATGGTCTTTTTTCCAGGGAATAAGTTCAGGATGCCGCTGGGTCTTTCGGTGGCGGCAACGGTGAATTGAGCCGATAACAATAGGGCAAAGAACCTCTACATCATTTCGGTGATAGGGATCAAGAGTAGGCTCAACAGGCTCCCTTCTGCTATCTGTCGTGGTCTTCGAGAGCATGAGTGCCAAAACCGTCGTTGTCTTCGGCCTTGGGTCCTCCCCAATTCCTCAAAAGAAGTATTCATTTTTCAATTGGTTTTTCTTTGCCATCAACATGGGTACACTCTTAGGTATTACTCTTCTAGTTTATGTGCAAGTGAAGAAGGGCTGGAGTTGGGGATTTGCGATTCCAACTGTGGCAATGTTTTGCTCTATCATCATCTTAGTCGCCGGCTTCTCAAAATATCATTACCAAAAGCCAATGGGAAGTGCCTTTACTAGATTTGTTCAAGTCATTGTGGCTTCTGTGAGGAACCACTTTAAAGGGGTCAAATTTGAACCAGGAGTTCGGCTTTATGAGGTCCCGATTGAAAATTCTGATATATTTGGTGCTCGGAAGCTTCTTCACACTGAACAATACAGGTTAGGTTTCAATTAAGCTTTTTCTCCGGATTACTCACCTGACAGGTCGTCAGCCTGTGCAATAATAATAATAAATATAGAACCTAGATACCACTAAAAACAGTCAATAATTAACCCTAGGTATTGGAGCAGGGACTCTAGGTGTGCAATGGGTTACTTGATTCACCATGTTCCCGAAGAGTTTGCTTAACCCGATATACCAGAATTAATTAGTTGACAAAAATTACTAAATAGTAGACAGTGGCAAGTAGGGTCGTCTCCTCAGGGACTGGATATATTTGTCTCTTTTAAAGTTCAATTGGTAAGGGGGGATTTTACCGGAATGAAACTAAAAACAATTAAATAATTTAACTAAAAATGAATAAATAACTAGCACAAGTAAAACAGGAATTAAATCAAGAATAAATAAATTCTAGCCAAGGATACAACTACTCAGGCACAGTCCATTTATCCGATCATTGATGCAGGAGAGGTTCACTTAATGTATTAATAGGCTAGTTATAGTCTAACAACCAATTTTTCCTTAAATTATAGATGACCAAGGTACGACCATTAATCACCTCTAACCAGAAAAGTACTCCTAGGTACGACCGTAGGAATTAATTTTTCAATTGCATTAATAACTAGAAAAACCTAGCCCTAACCAATAACACGCTACGAGGGTTATTTAAATTAGATTGCACGTTCCCCTAATGTGTAAACACACCAGTTGCCACTAACATTAATCAATCAAACAATTACGGATTTAATTGACTAAATTGGCACGAGATTAATAAATCACATTGAACATCGGGCCCTTGACATCCAATTAATAAAATAATCCCATGAAAATTAAATCAGACAACATGCAAATATTAATAGATAAAGGAACACGTGAAAACTAATTAGATCTCACAGATTTTCGGGACTGCGCCGTCGAGTTGACCCTTGACTAGATGGAAGACTTAGCCACGCCGCATAATTAAATCACCACACGAATTAATGGATTGCAAGGGCATAGCGTTTTTTACTAACAAGTAAGGAATAAAGGATGTTTTTCCCGTTGGAGAATTTTGTCGAACACCTGGCGTGTGTCAGAGGCCAGTCAAAAGAAGGAAAAACTAAAACTACACTAAAAGACTAAAACTAGAGATATCCCTGCCTCTCTACGTTATCTCTATTTAAGCAATAAAAGAAAGATGACTAAAGGCTATCTAGGTGGTCCCCACACATGTGGACAAAACCTTCAAAGTACTTCTTGCCCCAAGTCTCTTTCCGTAGCTTTCTTTTAAGAGCCCAAAGGAGTAGATGCCTTCCACTAGTTTGTGGTCCCCCACCAATTCAAGGGCCCAAGAATTGAAGCCCTTAGAAGTCTCCCTATTTTCCATAAAGTCCTTCCTTTTTAGTGGTTTTCTGCTTCATTCCTGAAATTAAGTTCAGATACCAAATATGAGTAAATATCAGAAATTAGCACACTATTTATCAGGGATAAAAGGGGAAATTTCTAATAAAAATTACTAACAAATTACACCCTATCAATTCCCCCTACACCTGAATCATGCTTGCTCTCAAGCATGAGGACAATTCAACCCAACAATGGCCAGCTTTAACAATATCATTGCCAGCTGTGCTTATACCGAAATCAAGATCTAGTGGTTAAGTGTCAAGACATATCCCTCCCGGTTAGCTCCCAAGTTCCTAGACCTGTCCATTTCATGGCTAACTCACCTAGGAAATTCAAATATTAACTAGCAACAGTCAGCAATTCAGTCAACTGACAACCAAAATCTCAACAGTGCGAACCAAGGATCGGCAGGCCAACATGATCACAAACTCACATTTTCCACATCTGATTTTTTTTCCTTTTTGTTTTCTCTCTTTTTTTTTTCTTTTTTGTTTTTTTAATAAATTGCACGAATAATGCTTAGTCCCGAGCTATTCAAGTCTTTTGACGTGAACTCTGACATTTTTAGATGAAAGAGCCCAGTTACTCAACTTTTTGCAGCTCCAGGGCCACTTACTCATAGATATCGCCACTTTTTGACGCGAGAGCCGACACGTGTGGTGAAGACCCCCGGTTACTGGGTAGCGACACTAGCGGAGTAAAGCCATACGTTATTCACCAATAACACCAAAATACCAAGTATTTAAAGATCATAGCCTGCGTCATTTCCTAAATATGGAGAACTAAGGTCGACAGGAGACCAATCCACACAACACTGCCAGCAAAATATTTGCATTGCCTAAACAAGTTAGCCATAAATTGCACCAAGTCGTTAAACTCAAAGCATTCACCAAGACAGGGTGCTCTTACTTGCCACTAAAACCCAATTCATAGTATAAACTACCACTAGCAATGAAAAAGTGAGCTGCCAAAATATTCACCAAGATAACAATAAAGGAAAAACACCCAAAAAGGAAAAATTGAAAATATCTAGCACCCAAACTGACCCCCCCATACCTAAATGGCACATTGCCCTCAATGTGATAATATAATAGCAGAGAAAACGGAAGGGGCAATGGTACTTCCCTGACGTCGTCAAGACAAGGGGGGTTGGGCGGAAACTGCGGAGGGAACCCGGCTTGCTGCATAAATGCCGCTAGATTCTGCGCCATATTGTGAATGTTAACGTCCATGTGTTTCTGCCGAATCTCAAGCCGCTCGACTGTGTTGCGTAGCTGGTTCCATTCCTCATCCGTATGGCCGGAATGGGGGGGAACGGAG